ACCCAACTTATCCCTCTACATGTCAATTGCATAATTTGAGTTATTGTTTTATTAGTTATGGACTGGAAAAAACAATTGAAGGTATGTCATTATGATTACCTCTGGTGACCTTGACATGACGAACATCATTGTTTTGAATGAAATCACCCTACTTAGTATCACAAGTTCCATATTGAGTTCTATTATAACCGACCCGTGAAGATTCCGGGGTAGAATAGGTCTTCAGCAACCCATGCTTGCCGTGAAAGGTGACTATGCTTGTCGTAAAAGGCGACTAACGGGATCGGGTGGTCAGGCTCGCTGACTTGGTTGATGCATGTCATCGATCCCAATTGCGTGTATCGATTCTCATGATATTAATCACTGGATTGTCTGGTCCAGACTCGATTATTTACAGACCGCCGTCATATAGCTGCAATATTGCTGAGTGCGGCGTTAAACAACAATACAATCTATTATAACCAGTTGATGAGACATAAGGCCAAAAAACATTCACCATGTTCACAGGATAATGTGAACAATCCTGGGGTCAGTGAAGTGTGACTCCCAGGACTTTTCCTGCAGGTTCCCCTTGCGGTCCTGTCATCCAAGAACATATGATCCTCTTCTGTTGCAAATGTCTAGTGACGGGAAGTACTGGGTCATTAGGTCCGCCTGTGCCTCTGCTAGAGAATGTCTAAGAAAAAATGAATAACTATATAAAGTGAGAGAATACATTAACTTAAAACTCCAGGAGAAAATATAATGAAAAGTATATGTCATTTGTGGGCTACACACATTAATAGTTTAGTAGTTAATCATTCATCACTGTGAAAATCTCATACCATGAATATGGAAAAGGGATGTGTTCAAGGCTCAAACTACTTTATCATAGTCCATAAAATAACAGCTATCAACAACAACCGTTGAACAATTAAAGATGAAGACTGAAATTTGTCTACATGCCTCCAAATCATGTGCATCAACCTTCAAAAACTGACCTACATTTTCTACAAAAGCAAGCAACAGGGGTCGAACATAAGCAGGAGTTTCTGAAAAGTTAGTTAAAAGGAAAAAGAGTGTTGAGACTTTATCTTCCACAATGGCCATGTGAGAGATGTTATGTCTAAAATTTGCCCCTTTAGACTCATCCATGAGGATATTTAAAACATTTTCTTCTTGAATGTGAATTAAAGCCAACAAAGGATAATCCGAGCTAATGGTATGAATGAGAGAACTGAAGATTTGGGGGCACTTTCCATAATGAAGATTTGAATCAATTTCAGAAAACAAAGGCTCCAAAAAGGGCGCATATGTTGTCAGCAGTTTCTGGAGCTCTGCCATTTCCTGTTGGGTGAGGCTGCGGATTGAAAACTGCCTAAGGAGCTTCCTGCACATCTGGTTTTTCACTAAGACTCGAGAGCCACATTGTGGTTTGTTGGTTGTTTAGTTGTTTAACGCCGCACTCAGCAATATTCCAGCTATATGACGGCGGTATGTAAATAATCGAGTCTGGACCAGACAATCCAGTGATTGAAATCAACAGCATCGATCCACGTAGTTATTTTTTAGTTCTTGTTAACTAACATGAATAATTATGTCGCAGGAAATCATCGACTTTCTCACCTTGGCATTGTTGTGATTCTGCCTGTTTCTTTGGGATTAGACCTACAGGGGATACTTGCAAGTTAACAAAGGGCATAGTGATAAACGGTCCTGCCATTCTGTTAAGATCCAGTTCTGTTTTAAGCTTTTGTCTAACGATGTCCCTCCTATCTTTATGGGTTGCGGACTGTAAATTGCCTGCTAGCCGACTATGGCGTGTACCTTGAAACTCGAGTTGGAAACCAAATGTAAAACCATCGAGCAAATATTGCGCATTCTCTGCGTTTAACTGAGAATAACGACACAACCATGGGGTTAACTTATCTAGTTTGACGGGAATAGGAGCCAAAAACCAGTTCCTCTGGGTGACTGCCTTGGGCCATTAAAGCGTGAGCTTGAGCTATTGTTTGATGGGGGGGGGGGGGGGGGGGGGGGGGCAGGTCGACGCCCCGTGAGATGTTTCGCCGCACTTGCTGCATATGTGGGAGTACGCGCAGCTGTACTTTTTACCCCCATGAGGTTTGTTGAATGCGTAGCATAGGTTAAGTGCAGGGTCTGAAACACTTGAATCAGTCAGCTGACCGAATGAACCACCTACCTGTTGACGCCCCGACTGCGGGATCAGGTATTTTAGCCATAGCTCACCGTCAATTTTGTCCCATTGTCGTAGAGGGTCTCTAGCCATCCTATGTCGGAATTGCTGGTCGTATAGACACCAGGTATCCGGTCCAGATCTAAGTGCCGCTGAACGGATTGTCTCCATGTACGATAATAGGCTTTGCACTATCAGTAGACTGAAATGTTTGACAAGGTATATATGTTCATGTAAATATGGAAAGCGGATGTCCAGCTTCCCAGTGTTATTTTTCTCGTTGGCGCTTTGACAGGTTTAAATAGCACCTTACCTGCAGTATCGGTGACCATAGTAAGAGCTTCGCACTCCTCGGTGCCAGCGTCGTTTGGTAGAAGTGTCCCGATGTCCACATACTCATCTCGCCATACTTTTTCCCTGGTTTGTTGTTTGACATGTGCATCGATAACCTCGGAGTTGAAGACGAGGGATTCCCCCGACGGACGATTTTCATTGGTTGACATGTTCAGTATTGACACGTCAACGAGAGCCTCGTTATGAAAAGGCGGGTTAACCCACCAGGCCCACAAGCATTGAGAGCATGCGCGGGAATATCAGCACTGTCGATGCTACGTTGTTGGCCCAAGTTATTGGCCCCCGATTGCCCCAAGAGCGCCCAAATTTGTTGCAGCTGCTGCGCTACTGATGCGTTTTGATGATTATGCAAAACCCCCGATTGCCCCAAGAGCGCCCAAATTTGTTGCAGCTGCTGCGCTACTGATGCGTTTTGATGATTATGCAAAACTTGATCAGTTTGTTTGGGCACGGGCGCGGTGGAAGCCAAAATGCCAGATGGTATTGACACACAATTATTTTTTATGGAATATTGTTACTCATCGTCCGCTGTAGCACTTGGCATGATGGGGATCCCGTTAACCTCTCTTGGGGGTGGGGTGACAACTGGTGCCTGTTTGGCCCCTCTGACCAAACGATGGTTTATGGCAGCTCTTCTTTTCGCGGGCAGAGCTATGGATAGATCTATCAACGGTTGTGCGAAGAGTATGACTAAACGTCAGCGAATGTAGGATTGAAGGACGAGAGAAAAGCGTAAAAGCGGAAAGAAATCGGAGAGCGACAATGCGATGTACAACGGGATGAACGGCTGTGCGAAAGTGATGAGTAGAGACAGTTACGTAATTGAAAAAACAGTGATGACGTCACCACGAGTTGGTTACGTAACTTCCGAGGGCACGCGCGTGCAATGAGCAACAGGAAGAAAGTAAAATTGTAAACATAAGATGATATACCTGCAATAAAAACATTTAGTCGCTAGTATTAAATGTAAATATGACGGCGGTCTGTAAATAATCGAATCTGGACCAGACAATCCAGTGATTGATATGAGCATCGATCCACGCAAATGGGATCGATGTCATGCATCAACCAAGTCACCGAGCCTGACCACCCGATCCCGTTAGTCGCTTTTTACCACAAGCATAGTCACCTTTTACGGCAAGCATGGGTTGCTGAAGACCTATTCTACCCCGGATCTTCACGGGTTTACTATATTAAAGCAAACAAGGACATTCACATATTTGCATTAATTTCATGCTCACATCATATGATTTACAGTAATTACGAATAATAACCAATTATGTATGTAAATGGACACAACTTTGACCCAACCACTGGATAAGTTTTTATGGCACATAAATAACATCTACATGGTACCATCACTCGAAGAAGGGGAACTTTATACCGCTCCCGACCCAACACACGACTACCCAGTCCATGACTAGTTACCCATAAGGCTGGAATATTTCTGATAGCTGGATGAATCAATAAATTTTACAGCTACTGTGCAACTGGGCGTCACAATTTCCTAGTCAAGACTTATAATCAATGTATAGCTGTTAAGCAACGTATCTTCCATCAAGATTCTGAGTTTCTTCTTGTGGCATCTTCCAATTCATGTGGGTCTTTTTTATAACCAGGGTGACACCATTCTGGGGACTCACCAGAGCCGTAAAAGGTGACTAACGGGATCAAGTGGTCAGACTCGCTGACTTGGTTGATACATGTCATCGATCCCAATTGTGTGGGTCGATGCTCATGATATCAAAGCCGATAATGCAGCTAAAGCAGCTCTTGAAAAACCGTTGTCTCCACTCTTTATCCCGTACAGTGATTTCAAACCAACCATCAAATCTTATACTCGGGATCTCATGCAAAAGAGGTGGGACACCCAAGTAGGAAGCAATAAACTACACGAATTGAAACCAACAATCGGTCATAACTACTTGGGTTGTCAGTCAAGACATGACGAGATCGTTTTACGACGGTGTCGTATTGGCCACAGTCGGTTTACACACGAATATCTGCTGAAGACAGATGAGGACGAACCTCCTAAGTGTATCCCTTGCGATGAAAGGTTCACCGTCAAGCATATATTGCTTGACTGTGTGGACTTTGCAATCGCAAGGGATTCACATTATCAAAGTGTAAATCTAAAAGATCTCTTTTCCCGTGTCAACGGGCATCTCATCATAAATTACTTGAAAGAAATTGGTCTGTATAATAAATTTTAAATATGTATGTGAATAATTAAATGCTTGTTTTTAAATTTGGTGTAATGCTATTAGCAACTGACATTATTAAAGGCTCTGTCCATTAATTGTCATCAATTGTTTTTAAATATGACATTGTATAAATAACTAAATTGTGTATATATTAGCTTGGTCTCGTCGCTATATGGCTGAAATAATGCCGATGCGACGTTAAATTTTAACTCACTCACTCACACTCATGATATCAATAACTGGATTGTCTGGTCCAGACTCGATTATTTACAGACCGCCGTCATATAGCTGTAATATTGCTGAGTGCGGCGTTAAACAACAAACCAACCAACCAACCAACATTACATGTAAGAATAATGAGGGAAATCATCAACATATTGTGTAACCACTAAAATATTGAATGTTGCATGAAGTTAGAGGGGACTGTGTAAGAACAGATTCTGCAACTGTCTAGAAGAATAAGTTCCAGTACTTAATACTATCATGAGCATGCCAGTGACCTTTGTACAAGCTCTACTAGTCTACAAACAGTAGAGTAAAAAATAGTTGTTGAAACATCAACCTGTAGTATGACAGTTGGTTACTGAATTCCCAGTGTCCCTTCTCGGCGTGCTGCCACACCAATGTCTTGTAAAATGATGACAGCGTTGTTCTGTAAAATAGAGGGTTTTAGATGAGTGTTTATATCCTACATAACAAGAGCAGTATAATTAGAGGTTATTTTCATAACACATACTGTAGATAACGACAAGGCTTTAAGGCTTGTTTTTGTGTGTGATATCAGTTAAGCTTTGGATAAAGTTTGCCACAAGGGGATGACACACAAACTTAACTTTTATGGCAATAATTGGAACTTATGAAAATGGGGTTTTAAAATGTTACAAAGGTAGCTCCTGGTTACTTGTTGTAATCTAAGTACAGTGATGGCTGAAGTACCACAAGTATTAATACCGAGACCTTCAGTATTCCTTAGTTATATAAATGATACTTTTAGAAGGTACTAACAGTATATATCAGACATACTGCAGATGACACGTCATTAAATAATAGTGGAAGATCGGGCCATTGCTTCAAACTACCTAAATAATGACTTAAGTAGAATTTCTACTTGGGTGGAAAACTTCAATCAAGTAAGGGATATGACAATTCATCGATAAATGGATTCATTGATAATGTTCGCAAATGATACACACTTACTTGTATCTATTTGCTATTTTCTGTAATAGTAGAGACAATTTTATTCTAAAAAACAAGAAGATATTCAGGAAGTTTCAAACCTTATTAATAGTGTTTATGCCCTATGAAATATAAAATTCACATAAACGTATATTACCCGTCTGTGAGGAACTGTTTTGAATACTGTCGGAAGACTTGGTGGGAAACCATATAGGTTCCAATTTTGAGAAGGTGTTCCTCCCCACCATCAAATTCTTTTGTCCTTTCACAATTGCTGCACTGTCTATCAAAAACTGAACAAATTGGAAAAGAAATAAATATCTCCTTATTATACAAATAAAACATCACATGGTAAACATTATAGTTAAGGTAAATGGCTCGACTTTACAATATATAACATGCACTTGTTCAGCCTGTTATTAAATATAGACATAAAACCAAAAGAAAATGACTGTCAATTACGACTGGACATCAACAGTACAACAATTACAACAGATGCATAGAGATGAACATTAACACAATAGCAGCAATGCCCTTTTGCTCACCGAACCGTGAAGATTGCGGGGTAGAATAGGTCTTCAGCAACCCATGCTTGCCGTAGAAGGTGACTATGCTTGTCGTAAAAGGCGTCTTACGGGATCGGGTGGTCAGGCGTGCTGGCTTGGTTGATGCATGTCATCGATCCCAATTGCGTGGATCGATGCTTATGATGCCAATCACTGGATTGTCTGGTCAAGACTCGATTATTTACAGACCGCCGTCATATAGCTGGAATATTGCTGAGTGCGGCGTTAAACAACCAACCAACCCCTTTGCTCACCAGATACATTTAGAGTAACCTGAATGTGAAATGGGATAACTGTAGCCTTGCTTGATAGGACGGTCTGAACAGGGAAAGACAACAGACAGAGCAAATCATCACACCATGACAGTAGCTCACTCAGAGCCTTTTAAGGAGGTAGATACGTAAGCAGTAGATAAAACCCCTCTTGTTTTATTTATTTAACTACATGAATTAACCAAATTTGGATACATAGCAAGTCAAAGTTAAAATATACAAACGGAAAAAAGTAGCTATGTTTCATATAAAGGTCAATAAAAATACATTTATTCTAAAATCATATAATGCATATTTCTATGCACATTTATGAAGAAATTTCCTTGACAAAAAGGTTGTGATACACAATTTGAACGTGCACAGCGCACACTTTGGATGTATGTGTGTGTTCATTGTGTTTGATTGATTGATTTGTTTGTTGTTTAATGCCGCACTCAGCAATATTACAGCTATATGACGGCGGTCTGTAAATAATCGAGTCTGGACCAGACAATCCAGTGATTAATATCATGAGCATCGATCCAAGCAATTGGAATCGATGACAAGCATCAACCAAGTCAGCGAGCCTGACCACCCGATCCCGTTAGTCGCCTTTTACGACAAGCATAGTCACCTTTTACGGCAAGCATGGGTTGCTGAAGACCTATTCTACCCCGGAATCTTCACGGGTCCATGATACTCATTTATTGTTTAAGGTGAACAGCATACAATGATAGTGGAGCTATCAGGTGCACATAAAAACACTTTTGTTTAACCTGAATAAAGCTTATGCAATACATTTGATTGCAGAGAATATACATCTATACAAGTTTTCTTCATGAATTTGTTCGCATGAAAAAAACATTGATCAGACAAATGACCAAGTATTATGTTCTTATTTTCTTTATATAAGGCACATTTATTTTTTCCATTTGTATATATTGATTTTTTTTAAAAACTGGTATATAAACTGAAACAGTTGCATACCTCTAACTCTTGATGAAGTGGTTGTTGTAAACAGCATGGATTCCTGGCCATCTGTGAGCTCACCCCAAGGACATCCAAAAACACAGAAGCCTGAGGTGTCTGGGATAAAACTGTTTTTAGACCTTGCTTCAAAACAAGACATGCTGAAGTCTTATCGGTTCTTAAGTATTGGGTGAGGGACATAACGTGCCCTGAAAGATGGTTCAGCTGCCAAGAGGTCTTTCAACACCTCAGCTGATGAGTGCCCAGTACATTTGATGGCGTTAGACCTTGCTTCAAAACTAGACATGCTGAAGTCTTATCGGTTCTTAAGTATTGGGTGAGGGACATATCGTGCCCTGAAAGATGGTTTTGCTGCCAAAAGGTCTTTCAACACCTCAGCTGATGAGTGTCCAGTAAATTTGATGGCGTCTGTGTGTTTGCAAGGAGCCTTTTTGCAGACAGAACATGCTAAAGGGTGTCCACCTTGAAAGTTTACTTTCACTATGCCATATGACTCCGTGGATGAGTTAGATATGTGACACACAACAGAACATGCTAAAATGTGTCCACCTTGAAAGTTTACTTTCACTATGCCATATGACTCCGTGGATGAGTTAGATATATGGACACACAACAGAACATGCTAAAGTGTGTCCACCTTGAAAGTTTACTTTCACTATGCCATATGACTCTGTGGATGAGTTAGATATATGGACACACAACAGAACATGCTAAAGTGTGTCCACCTTGAAAGTTTACTTTCACTATGCCATATGTCTCCGTGGATGAGTTAGATATGTGGACACACAGAGCATGTTTTGTCGACAAAATGGGATACAACTCCACCTATAGGATAAAATTACAGACCCTAGACATGCGAAACCAATAGGCAAAAAGGCATGCAATGTATAATATGCCAAAAATATATAATATGCTACAGTCTACACAGCTAGGGACTACAATTGCCAGATGAAAACACTAATACAACACATGAACTGTATTTGTCATTACCAAATAAATAATCTATTTGCTTTACACATGGGTAAGGAATGATTGAATTACTTAAGAAAATATATCATCGTAATAATGTTACCATTTATTTCAAATCAACATTTAAATTCAAAAGTAAACCTTAACCAAACATCAAAAAGTGAACTTACAATATCATGTGAGTTGCCATATTGGCGATCGGACTCGTCTAGATTAACAGGATTAATATTGTATTAAACAAAACAGTAGTTTGCAGTTTTCCATGAAATATATATGTACACTTACATAAGAACAATAAAGTACATGTAAGTATTTTAGGCTTTGCAATATAATCACAAACTAAAAACCAGGAGAAAAAAAAGGTCAAATTCACACCCCAAGGTATTCTTTGAGAAACTCTAAAACACTCTTTGAAATGTTTCAACGAAGACGGAGTTGACAAATCATCGATCATAGTCACGTTAAAATGCCAAACCGGCGTACACAAAACCTGTTTTGAACAGCGAAAACAGACAATAGAGCCATGATACCATGTGTGCTTACCATCTTGAACTAACGTGTACTGGTATTGTTTAAAGCTATAGAAAATACCTCAACTATTTATTGTGTATTAAAATCTCTGATGTAGGTGGAAATCGATATCAAAAGAGTGGCTTGCCAGTCGTTTGGCGGTCACACAGTGTCGACGTCTGCTCGGAAAACGGTTGGTATTTCAGAGTCGGACATGCTGCTATCCATCTCATATTTTATTTTGTGGCTTGTGGGTGATACTAAAACAGGTAAGTTCTCTGATTAATACCATAGATATGGTATGTGAGATATAGAGAGTATCAAGTTGGTTGTTTAACGCCGCACTCAGCAATATCCCAGCTATATGACGGCGGTCTGTAAATAATCGAATCTGGACCAGACAATCCAGTGATTGACACATACCTGTCAACTCTCACGCATTTAGCATTTATCACCTATGTCACGCTCACACGCAAGGTTGGGAAATTCTCACGCATTCATATAAAATGTAGATAAAAAATATTTTGAAACGCTTTTTTCTCTTTCGATTTATCGCGATTGCAATGTCTTGATAAATGTGCTTTAAATAGAGTGAAAGAGTTATCATGGTTATGTGAATCAAAACTGTGAATAATTTATTGTTGAGTCTTTTTGGAAGTGACTATTTGGCAACAAATCTTGTTCAATGTTTTGTTATATATGATGGACATGAATTACTTTGAATTGAATACAGTTTCTCAAGGTATGTGTTTTATCTTTTCTTTTAATTTTTGACAAATATATTTTTCAGAATACATGCTTTCTAAGGCCATTAAAATGGTCTAAAATCATTCAAAACCAGTTTTCGCTGGAGTTGACATCATGGGCATCGATCCACACAATTGGGATCGATGACATGTATCAACCAAGTCAGCGAGCCTGACCACTCGATCCCGTTAGTCGCCTCTTACGACAAGCATGGGTTGCTGAAGACCCATTCTACCCCGGATCTTCACGGATCAGATCAGCAAGAAGGGGAGCACAACTGGTGCCCATGGGGATGCCTACTACTTGCCTGAATGTCTTACCCCAAATTTTACACAGATGTTATCAATGAAGAAGTCCAACGTTTCACATATTATTTTCTCAGTAAACTTCAGATGACAAGGGGGCACGGGTGGCCCATGTCGTATAAGGCGCCGCGATTCGCTGCGTAGAGTTGCGTCACTTGGGCATGCCAGAAACCTATGATTGTGGCTTCAAATCCCGGTTCGCCCCGATTATGTTTCTAGGTTTGTCAGCACCAGCATTGCTGGAATATTGCTAAAAGCGGCGTAAAACCATACTCACTCACTCACTCTGGAGAGTGCGCAGACTTCTGCCAAGAGCATCCCAGACGTGTTCGATGGGATTGAGGTCGAGAGACCTTGACGCCAGTCCATGACGTTGACTGCCGCATTCTGAAGGAAATTCCTTGTCAAAACTGCTGTGTGGGGTCTGGCATTGTCGTGTTTGAAGATCAAACCGGGTCCATGTGCTGCCATAAAAGGCAGAAGTTCTGGTGCCAGTACCTGGTCGCGGTAAGCAGCAGCGTTGAGGTTGCCACGGATGACAAGAAGACTGGAACGTGCATTGCCACAGAAAGCACCCCACACCATGACACTTCCGCCTCGAAATCTGTCAACTTCCTGTACACAACACTGGGCGTAACGTTCATGACGGCGCCTCCACACCCTCGCCCAACCATCAGCAAATCGAAGATTAAATCGGGATTCATCACTGAGGACGACTTGATTCCAATTCCTCTGAGTCCATCGTAAGTGTCGCTGTGCCCACAATTGACGTTGACGTCTGTGTAATTGAGTCAGAATCGGCCCGCAGTATGGCCGTCGTGCTTGAAGTCGAGCAGTTCTCAGACGGTTTCGAACAGTTTGCGCCGCAGTCTACCACTTAACAGTTCATTTCTGGTTGATGTAGCCGTCAAAAATCGGTTACGGAGGTGACGTAAGACAATCTGACGATCTTCTGCATGTCACGTCACACGTGGTCGACCTGGCCGAGGGCGATCAGCGGTGGTACCCGTTTGCTGTAGACGCGTCTGTAAATCATAAACAGTCCGTCGACTACAACCCATCGTCCTTGCGACTTCAGCTACGGACGTTCCCGTCTGCAACATGCCGATGGCACGTTCACGTTGCACATTTGAAAGGCGTGGCATGACAAATGGCCGTAAAGACTTTTGTTTTCTTGTGTTTTTCTTTTTTTGTTAATGACTGCTAACAAGTATGACTGAAAACACGTGCGGTATTATGGCCACGTGACCAGTTGCACGTGAAAAACCACTTTTGCCACTTTAGTGCTGTGCACATGATTTTGATCGATTCACCTGCACAAAAACGGGTTTTATCTGAAGACAATACGTGGCCATCACTGTTTAAATACACAATAAGGGCCCACAATGATAACTGGTCAAAATGCTAAAATTTTAGGATTGTGAAGTTTTTAATTTGGTTCAGTATAAGTACATTTTACAGCCATTGTGCATGTAAATCGAAGGGCCATTTGTACTGTGCTTGCGTTGATTTTAAAAAGCCTTCGATTTAGGGATAGGCAAATTGTATTTACTTGTAATCAAGGGTTGTCTTGGGAAAATGTTTAATGTTCTGTTTGTTTGTTTGATTGTTTAACGCCGCACTCAGCAATATTCCAGCTATATGACGGCGGTCTGTAAAATAATTAAGTCTGGACCAGACAATCCAGTGATTGACATGAGCATCGATCTACGCAATTGGGATCGATGACATGTATCAACCAAGTCAGCGAGCCTGACCACCCGATCCCGTTAGTCGCCTTTTACGGCAAGCATGGGTTGCTGAAGACTTTATCTACCCCGGAATCTTCACGGGTCTTTTATATATAAGAAGCCACTGAAAGGATAGGGGCGGTCGGGTAGCCTAGGGGTTAAAGCGTTCGCTCACCACGCCGAAGACCCGGGTTCGATTACCGACATTGGTACAATGTGCGATTTCTGGTTTCCCCCGCCGTGGTTGGTTTGTTTGTTTGTTGCTGCCTGTCTGCTTTTGTTAAAAACACAAATATTATTGAAATCTAGTTTCCATCAGCTCCTTCACACATTTTCATGTTACTTGTTTTTGATGTTGCAGAGACTGACCTGGCATTGAACAAGCCGGCCACTGCAAGTTCGATCAACAATTATGGTCCACGTGTGGTAAATGATGGTGATACTGCAACAACATGGTCCAGTGGAAGCTGCTTTTCAGTCGCCCGAGGAGACAACGACCCCTGGTGGCAAGTGGATCTACAGGTCACGGTCAAAGTAACCAAGGTCAAGGCCACAACTAGAAGTGACTGCTGCCGTGCGTATGGTTCAAATGTCTTTCCTGTTGTAAAACTTACGACTGGTAAAGCTATGCGCAATATTTGTTTACCCACTTATAGAGTCTTTGATTAAAAAATAACCATCCTTGAAGATTCGGATAAGAGTTGGTCTTCAGCAACCGATGTTTATCGTAAGAGGATAGGGTGGTCAGGTGGATTGTCTTGTCCAAAACAAAAATAGATAATAACCCTACTTTTATTCTACGCAAAGAAAAAAATGTATTCATCTGGACAAAGCAAAGAGCTTCTCCCGTCACGTTTCATGAGGTTACGTTTCATGAGGTTACGTTTCATGAGGTTTCGACCTGTAAAGATTCCGGGTCTTCAGCAACCCATACTTGTCGTAAAAGGTGACTATGCTTGTCGTAAAAGGCGACTAACGGGATCGGGTGGTCAGGCTCGCTGACTTGGTTGATGCATGTCATTGATCCCAATTGCGTGGATCGATGCTCATGATATTAATCACTGGATTGTCTAGTCCAGACTCGATTATTTACAGACCGCCGTCATATAGCTGTAATATTGCTGAGTGCGGCGTTAAACAACAAACCAGCCAATCATGAGGTTACAATAACAGAACATAAATCGTTCACTTCCGGATTTCCTACTTAGCCGTTATAAAAACTGAACTACTGTTTTACATTTTCAGTAGGTCTTTGTAAAGCTTTGTTTACACATGAGGCAGTTCCTGAACAGGCGTTGTTTGCTCTTTTTATTTTTATCGTTCATGGGCATGTTTAACGAGGGCAGGTTTGTTTTCTCTGCGAAACTGATAAACCGTTCAATATTACTCCATGACACTTTTATCAGAAAACGGGGTGGTTGGGTTGTCTAGTGGTTAAAGCGTACGCTCGTCACGCCGAAGACCAGGGTTCGATTCCCGACATTGGTACAATGTGTGAAGCCCATTTCTGGTGTCCCCCGCCGTGATATTGCTGGAATATTGCTAAAAGCGGCGTAAAACCATATTCACTCTTTCACTCATTTATCAGAGACGGGGTGGTTGGGTTGTCTAGTGGTTAAAGCGTTCGCTCGTCACACGTAAGACCCAGGTTCGAATCTCACATTCTTATTCTCACATTCTCACGTACCCGCCGTGATATTGCTAAAAACGGCCTAAAACCATATTCACTCACTTACCTCGAGCTTTGCATAAATTACTTCTTACAAATGTAAGCATACAAGGATAGAGGGGGACATGAATGCGGTGTCTTGTTATGATTGGAAGAATGATGTTAAAATCACAATCTATCAATGTCTATCAATGTAATAATTGTTTGTTTGTTTGTTGTTTAACGCCGCACTTAGCAATATTTCCAGCTATATGACGGCGGTCTGTAAATAATCGAGTCTGGACCAGACATTCAAGTGATTGATATCATGAGCATCAATCCACGCAATTGGGATCGATGACATTCATCATCCAAGTCAGCGAGCCTGACCACCCGATCCCGTTAGTCGCCTTTTACGACAAGCATAGTCGCCTTTACGGCAAGTATGGGTTGCTGAAGACCTATTCTACCCCTGGTGAGTGAGTGAGTTGGGTCGGGTATGGTGCTGACCCACAATCATAGGTCTCTGGCATGCCCAAGGGACGCAATACAGCACAGCGAATGTATGACGTCCCCCCCCCCCCCACACACACACACACACACCCACACACATACGATACGATGACATGCATCAACCAAGACAGCGAGCCTGACCACCTTAATCCCGTTAGTCGCCCCTTACCAGAAGCATAGTCGCCTTATTAAGCGAAGGTCTGTTTCTCATATCTGACACTCCCATTGTACCCGCTTTACAAACTAAGTTCACCTATTTAGATTGATAGATTATGTGATGGGAAAGAATAATATTTTGGTGTGCTCAATTTTTTTCACTGCGGTCACCCTGAAATCCAAGATGGCCGCCAAGATGGCCGCCACTTTTCTACCTAACCTATTAACTTCACTATATATCCCATTTGTTTATCAAATATTAATCATAAATCACTTCTGACCATGAACAGCTGATGTGTAATATATATATATATTTTGTTTGGGCACCAAATATAACATTTTAGAACGGAATTACTAGTTCAAAATGGATGCCAAGTTCAAATTAATTATATTCTTTAATAGAAAACAGGGTATTTTTTGTATGGATATACCAATCAGAACTGCAATTTGGAATAGGATAATACAAATTAACCACTTTCGGTTCAGTAAATATTCATTAAAGGTATATTAGGTTTCATCAAACTACAAATAATGACCAAAAATATGGAATTCATCTGTCAATAAGGGTGAGAAATTAAAAAGCATAGCAGCATAAAACTATCTTCTGCACTGTAAACGAATACATGCATTCAGTATATTCAATGAATAACATCATTGAACAGTTAAAAAAACAAATAAAAAAACAAAAACATTTAAAGTGGTTATGCTTATAATCACTACTATAAACAGTTGTCTTGCAAGTAGTACAGGAAGTGCTGTCTCAAAGAATGTTGTCAAGGATAAACAGACTCCACTGGAGGACAAAATTTTGCAAAATTATCTTAGTGTCGGTAAGTACATTGCTTTGTTATTGTTCACAACAGATTTGTGCATTCAAAAATACAGACAAGAGTCTTCGTATCTCTGTTGAACAAACATCAGCACTGCATAAATAAATCACTTCTTCAAGAGATGGATACTGCAAATGCAGAGATTCTGACATCTCAGAACGATCTTGGCTACCATATGCCGCAGGGAGTGGCTCCAATGTACCTTCTTTGTTTGGTTGGGACAACAATGACTACAAAAACAGAGGTCATTTCTCAGGATCACTACAGGGCCATGATCAACTGGATACATGGCTCAAGCAAGATTACCTGGACATGATGCTAATCGAGAACCTCCTACAGGTCAATCAGAGAATCACCCCCGAACTGGACGCAAATCCATATCTGTCTCTGTCTCCTCGAGACCAGAACCTCCTCGATATAATAATGCTGCTCAACTGCTGACTACACTGGATTCAAAAAGTGCAAAAAAGGCTAAGCAGGTCGATTTGGTATGGCAACTGTCCCGAATGGATTTCAACTTAGGCAAAAACGTGGAACCATCAGAGCAAGCTGTCCCAGGATGGAAGGGATTTAACAGCGCTACCCAGCCCTCTACACCAATGGAGCCTCACATAATTGGATACTGCCAAACCATCCACAAACCCCCTGATCATAGTGTGATCTATACGTTTCTGACCAGATCATTGAGATGACTGACAAAACAATGGATGATGATCATGGCAGAGGTTCTTGTTCTGTCCAAGTGGTAGTTGATATGGGAATATGGACCAAAGCCATAGAAGTTATCCACAGCAAACAGGATTCTGATCCTAAAATGAACCGAATTGTGTTGCATCAGGGGCCATTTCATACAAGTATGCGGTTCATGGCATGTGCTGGTTTCCTCTTTGGTAATGCTGGACTGCGTGACATCTTCATTGAGGCAGGAATTTTGGCAGAAGGATCAGTTGACAAGGTCCTTCAAGGAGAGCACTGGGAGCGTGGGTTCTATGCCCACACGCTTGTTGCTGAAGCTTGTGAGAGACTTCGTTTTGCAGCGTTTGTCAAACACCTTGATCATGGAAGATGTCTTGAAATCTTGAAGTCTGAAATTGATGGTATTCGTCATGATATGTCACCTTAGAGACTTGCCACTCTAACAACCTCAGACACCTTCAGATTTGTGTTGTCACTCTACAACTCATACATCTAATCTCTTGGACCAAATGGAAAGTTCTGGTCAATGTATCTCGAAATGGTTGGGATACTCTTGCGGCATGTGCGAGCTGCTTGAACAGGTGACTGGAAACTAAGTCTACACTCTGAAATTGAAATGCTCCCCTGGTTTTTTGCCTGTGGAAGAAATGTATATGGACGATACAAACCTCTCTACTTGCTAATGATGCTGAACCTTGAAAACACACACCCAGATTGCCAAGAGCAGCTTCTTAATGGATCCCTCTTCACCATCCAGAAGAGTAAAAATAACCCATTTGGCAGAGTTCCTGCTGACCAAGAAACTGAAATGGGTGTTTACAGAGATTCTAAGGCTCCAGGAGGTGTAGCAGATATCAGCATGAAACCAGCAGCAACACGGAAATGGGAAATCCTGTCAACTCAGAGAGCTGAGTTTATGAGACGGTGCACTTCTCTGACTGGGCAAGATACGGGTCAGAGAAGATGAAGAGAAAGTGCAGCACATCATGAACACAATAACAAAATGGAACAATCCATTTGAAGGTGAAGGACCACTTTGTCTTGGAGTAGATGAATGTGAAGGTCTTATAGGAGCTCATCCTTTCACTGGTTGCGACAGTACTAGTGCCTTCAAGGGACGAGGAAAAATGGGCATACTCTGGCTTCTTGAAAATGATGCAATCTTCTGCAATGCATTGGCTTCACTTGGAAAAAGCTCAGAAGTAACTGACGATCTATTGAAATCGTGTGAAGCAGCAACTTGCATCTTCTACAGCTTCAATTCCAGAACCAAACATCTGAATCCGGTTTTAACATACAGTGTAAATACACTGCGGACAATCATGTTTGGATCAGGAACATCAGATCCAGAGAAACTACCTCCATGCCAGAATGTTCTGAGAAAGAAAGTACAGCGTGCTAATTACCAAGCATTCCTCTCCAGAAATTGTCTGAAACAGGACCAGCAACCACCTTCTCCAAATGGACATGGATGGTTTGTGGCAGATAAAAAGTTTGAAATTAAATGGATGGATGTACAACCAGCACTGTCATCAGTCCTAGCAATGACCTGCTGCAGCTGCAAAACTGATTGCCAAACAAAGAGGTGTGGATGTGTAAAGAACAGTCTGAAATTTACAGGACTGTGTTCTTGTGTCTCAGGATGCCAGAACAAGTCAAGAAACACTGGTGCTGAAGTGGACATACTTCCTTCAGAAGATTCTTCAGTTGAAATACCTGATGGCGATATCCATGATTCAGACATGGAGTCAAACTCATCTTCAGACACAGACAGTGATATCTGAATCAACTTTGTCCAATGAAATGATGCATCTGAATGCATCAAAGCTCTTCAAACATCATTTACTGAATCAAATACAGTACTAGTGAGTGTGAAACATTTTGACATCATGAAAATGGACTTTGATTTAAAAACAATTTTCCTTTGAGTTTGAGTCTAATCTCAGATATGTAAATATGTTGCATTTTTTTCTACAAAATTCATTATTTAACTTTATAAAAGTACTATTTTTGCAGAATTCTGAATTATTTTGCATTAAAAATGTATATGTGCACCTATAAATGCATTTCCGATTTTGAAAAAGCTGACTTGTTATTGTTTTGACAGAGTAATGAGTGCATTGAGAAATTTTCCCACTTTGGCGGCCATCTTGGACGCCATTTTGGATTTCGGGGTGACCGCAGTAAATTTTTACGAGCACACCAAGAAATAATGTTAGGTAATGGTTTAAGCAAGCTAAACAACATGGTGAACTTAGTTTGTAAGATGGGTACAATGGCACCCAAAAACTAAGCATGCTATGGGAATCAGACCTTCGATTATATACGGCAAGCTTGGGTTGCTGAAGACCTATTCTACCCAGTGTCTTCACAGTATCGACCAACGTAATAAGTGACCCCGTGAAGATCCGGGTTAGATTAGCTCTTCAGCGACTTGGAGACTAAAGGGATCGGGTTGTCAGGCTCGCTGACTCGTATCGCAATTGCGTAGATCGATGCACGTGATGTCAATAACTTAATTTGTCTGGTCCAGACTTCATTACTTACAGACCGCCGTCATATAACTGGAACAGTGCGGTTTTAAACAACAACTAAATAAACAAACAACGACGTAATAATTGGTCATTGTGCGACAATCCTATAACACAGTTTGTTAAAAGTGTTGTGATTATGGATTGGTTGGTTGTTTTGTTGTTTCACGCCGCACTCAGCATTATTCCAGCTATATGACGGCGGTCTGTAAATAATCGAGTCTGGACCAGACAATCCAGTGATTAATATCATGAGCATCGATCCACGCAATTTGGATCGTTGACATGTATCAACCAAGTCAGCGAGCCTGACCGACCGATCCGGTTAGTCGCCTTTTACGACAAGCATAGTCGCCTTTTACGGCAAGCATAGGTTGCTGAAGACCTATTCTACCCCGGCGTCTTCACGGGTCTGTGAGTACAGAACTAGACTTTTGTTCAAAATATATTTACACACTCCAATATCATCAAATATTGAAAGTTGAAACTTGAAGGGACTGATTCCTGTTGAAGTTTGAGCTAGGCGGTGGGATAGCCTAGTTGTTACAGCGTTCGCTCGTCACACAGAAGACCCAGGTTCGATTCCCCACATGGGTACAATATGTGAAGCCCATTTCTAGGGACCCCCGCCGTCCTATTTCTGGAATATTGATTAAAAATAATTTGAATATTTCAATGACTCGAAAATAGAGCAAATGGATTGTTTGGTAAGTCTCGATGAATTGGTTGATGGTGTGGTACCCTACCCTGACAGCTTGAATCGTTGTTCACAAAATCAATCACTGGATTGTCTGGTTCAGACTCGATTATTGCTGAGTGCGGCGTTAAACAAGAGACACACAAACCTTATGTGGCGGTACGAACACATGCTATCAACCATTTCATCGAGACCGACAACCGATCCGATTTAGTCGCCAGGGACACATTTTCATTTCAACTGAATCTTTTTGTACAGGATAATGACTTTGAGTAATCTCAAACCTACAATGTCACTATTTCAATTGCAGCTGAGAGACTTCATGATTTTTCAATTGACCTGTACGATGAAGACCCTTCGTTGTACCCACTCTCTGCCTCCAAATTGTGCTACTTTTACTCCGGGAGCGTGACCACTCCCGGGGCAACTGCCACCGTTGCCTGCTCAAGACCCGTCACCGGTCGGTTTGTGAGGATCAGTGGGAGAAACAAGTTAAATTATGATGATATGCTGACAATGTGCGACATACAAGTGTTTGGAGTGAGAATGAATACACATTTCAATTCGTGTAAGTAACTGATAGTATCAAACTTTGAAAAAGACCCGTGAACATCCGGGGTAGAATAGGTCTTCAGCAACCCATGCTTACCCAAAATTCCAGCTATATGGCGGCGGTCTGTACAAGACAATCCAGTGATTAATATCATGAGCATCGATCCACGCAATTGGGATACATGCATCAACCGAGTCAGCGAGCCTGACCTCCCGATCCCGTTAGTCGCCTTTTACGACAAGCAAAGTCACCTTTTACGGCAAGCATCGGTTGCTGAAGACCTATAGGTTGCTGAAGACCTACTCTACCCCGGATCCGTAAAGTGTAGAGTAAGATGATCATCGCCGATGTTTGTTTGTTTGTTGTCAAACGCCTCACTCAGTAATATTCCAGCTACATGGCAGCGGTGAAGACCTATTCTACCCCGGATCTTCACGGGGCCCGACCGCTGATCTGAGCGCACATTTCTTTGAGCACTCGCTAGTTTCTCACTTGCTGGAATCAAGCCGTGGCTTGATTCGTTGGTTAAAAATAGCGACTATTTTGATTCATCTGATTAGGATGTCGATGATAAACAATGTCTTTCTTCTCCAGGCGCATCCCTTGTTCAGTACAAACGAAAACAATTCAACACAACACCAACCAAGACCATCACCGTAGACAGTCCCGCATCGTGTGCTTCAGAGTGCGAGCGCTGGGAGACCTGCACGGGGTTCAACATCAGACACCTGCCGGACGCCACGTGTGAACTGCTGCAAGGGGCGACTATTGACTCTCTACAGTCCAATCCCACATGGGACAGTTACCTATACCATCCATGCTTCAATGTGTGCGAATGAAACTGCATATACTTTTCGCCCTGTGAAGATCCGGTCTTCAACAACCCCTGCTTGGCGTAAAAGGCGACTATGCTTGTCGTAAGAGGGACTAACGGGATCGGGTGGTCAGGCTCGCCGACTTGGTTGATGCATGTCATCGATCACAATTGTGTGGATCAATGGTCATGATATTATTCACTGGATTGTCTGGTCCAGATTCGATTATTTACAGACCGCCGTCATATAGCTGTAATATTGCCGAGTGCGGCGCAAAACAACAAACCAACTGCCGAGTGCGGCGCAAAACAACAAACCAACAAACCATGGTCATTGTTCGGTCATTTTTGTACAAAATGTCATGAAATCTGCTTATGTGAAATTACATAAACTCAGCAACAAATGTTCCTGTGACACGACATAAAACAAGAACCTGATCAAAGTAGACGCACACATCTGGAAGAATTCAGACAATGGACCAGTAAAACAAGTTGACACATTTAATGACACATGTCTGGCACAGTAATGACGTCGTGGCAATAGAAATATGCAAGGACAGAATTATCAATTCACACGTCAGTAGCGTGTGTCACATGCGTGGATGCATGCAATGCTTCTTCTTCGCATTGGCAGAGCAAACGTCTAACACTGTATTGTGGAGGGGCGGTCGGGTAGCCTAGTGGTTAAAGCGTTCGCTCGTCACGCCGAAGACCCGGGTTCGATTCCCGACATGGGTACAATGTGTGAAGCCCATTTCTGGTGTCCCCCGCCTTGATATTGCTGGAATAATGCTAAAAGCGGCGTAAAATCAAACTCACTCACTCACTCACTGTATTGTGGGATGGCATCCATATCTCCACCAGCCTGTCTCTCCATTTCATCCTATATGTGTTCAGTTGGAGAAAGATCTGGAGAGCCAGCAGGCCCCGGAATCACATTCACGTTGTTCTGTCCAAGTGCTTCTTGAACGATCCGGGCTACATAGGGTCGGGCGTTGTCATGCTGAAAAGCCACGCCAGGTCCATGTTGATTCAAAAACGGCACAACGATAGGTTGGATGACCTCGTCACGGTTCAAATTGCCATTGATCACTTCCAAACGAGATCTCTGTCTCTCGGTGATTCCTCCCCACTCATAGGGGCGGTCGGGTAGCCTAGTGGTTAAAGCGTTCGCTCGTCACGCCGAAGACCCGGGGATCCAATCCCGACATGGGTACAATGTGTAAAGCCCATTTCTGGTGTCCCCCGCCGTGATATTGCTGGAATATTGCTAAAAGCGGCGTAAAACCAAACTCACTCACTCACTCCTCCCCGCTCAATTACTATGCCTCTTCCGAGTTTATTCGTATTCGGCAATCGCCGTGGGAGAGGTGAAAACGAGACTCGTCGGTGAACAGAACCTGTCTCCACTGAACTGCCGTTCAACACACTCGCTGTCTACACCACTACAGACGCAATCGGCGGTGATTGTTGGTCAGAATTGGGCGTCCGGCTGGTCTCTTCGCAACAATCCCGTAACGTCTAAGACGGCAACGTCAGTCTGTGCCGATATTCGATAAAGGCCAGGGATGGTTCTCGTAGTGATTGTTGCAGGCTGGGACCGATTTCGCAGATGGGTGGTTCGAATCCAACGATCTTGACGGACGCTCAAAACGGGGGCCTTGCCGCTCCTTGGTCAATCTCTGCCACAGCTACCAGAACGTCCAAATGGTGTATCTGTGCACGTCCAATCGCGAAGGAACTTCACGCTGAGACGCTGCTGACTGGCACATACCAATGGCTCTTAAGCTGTATTTTCCAGATAGGCGTGTCATCTCCAAACTTAAAATATTGTTTGTTTGTTGTTTAACGCCGCACTCAGCAATATTCCAGCTATATGACGTCGGTATGTAAAATAATCGAGTCTGGACCAGAAAATCCAGTGATTGACATCATGAGAATCGATACACGCAAATGGGATCGATGACATGCATCAAGCAAGTCAGCGAGCCTGACCACCCGATCCCGTTAGTCGCCTTTTACGACAAGCATAGGTTGCTGAAGACCTCTTCTACCCCGGAATCTTCACGGGTCTCCAAACTTCAAAGAATGATTGAAATTTGTCTTGATAACTGCAACATAGGAAAACATTAAATTTCAATCAGTATTTCCTTACTTCAAATAATGATTGAAGTTTAATGTTTCCCCATGTTGCAGTTATCAAGACAAGAGGAAACAATGCATACCGAATCCCTACAACACGCGTGCATTTTTCTTGGTTTACATCATCAATTGCCTGATTGCTGCATGACAATTTTTGCCATCAGATCATGCTTTTGTGGTGAGGTTGCGTTTGTGCTACATTTCTTTCATATCCGATTTGAACAAAAGAAAGGTTTTTCTTGTGTTTGTTTGCTTGCTTGTTTAACGCCGCATTCAGCAATATTCCAGCTATATGACGGCGGTCTATAAATAATCGAGTCTTGACCAGGCAATTGGAATACTATGACATGCATCAACCAAGTCAGTGAGCGACCCGTGAAGATCCCGTTAGTCGCCCTATACGGCATGCATGGGTTGCTGAAGACCTATTCTAACCCGGAATCTCCACGGGTCAGCAATATACCAGCTGTAAGAGAGATAGACTCGATTGTTTACAGACCGCCTCTTATGCAATATTCCAGCTATAAGAGGCGGTCTGTAAACAATCGAGTCTATTTCAGACAATCCATTATTAGTATTAGTATGTTATTATTATTCGAGTCCACTCCAGACAATCCATTATTGGTATTAGTATTAGTATGTTATGATTATTAGAATTAGTTTGTTATTATTATTAGAATTAGTATGTTATGTTCTAATTGGTCTTACTTACAAGTCCTGGTAGCTGATATTACGTTTAGGCTGTTATATGTGTTATGTGATAAAACTGCACCTGAAGATTCTCGTGTCAGCCTTCATTTATCAAATGCAATTTTAAAGTTACCACCGAATTTTCTTATATAATTTACACTGTCCTAGAGTGAGTGAGTGAGTGAGTTGCGTTTAACACCGCTTTGAGTTTGTTTTGTTTCATGTTGTTTAACGCCGCACTCAGCAATATTCCAGCTTTATGACGGCGTTCTGTAAATAATCGAGTATGGACCAGACAATCCTTCATAGGTTGCTGAAGGCCAAATCTACCCCGGATCTTCACGGGAAGTTCATATACTGTTGTGGACCGATCACTACATTTGACTTGTGCACATTTTTTGTCACCAATCACTCGTTCATTCTTTGCTAGACTATATTATTGCAACAAACGGCAGACAGTGTGTAAGCATTGTTATGGTATTTTGTAAAACTTATGACATATGATGTATTGTTTACTCGTAGTTAGATTTGTTTGTTTGTTTGTTTGTTTTTTAATTCATGTAAACAAGCCAGGCGTAACATACTGTGTTGTTTGACATCGATCTGATGTCAATTTTGTGTCCAAATTTGAGTATACTCTAAATGTTTAGTGTGTTATGTTTTAATTGGTCTTACTTACAAATCCTGGCAGATGATATTACGTTTAGGCTGTTATATGTGTTATGTGATTAAAACTGCACTTGCATATTCTCGTGTTAGCCTTCCTTTATCAAATGCAATTTTAAAGTTACCACCGATTTTTCTTATATAATTTACACTGTCCTAGAGTGAGTGAGTGAGTTGGGCTTTACACCGCTTTGAGTTTGTTCTATGTTGTTTAACGCCTCACACAGCAATATTCCAGCTGTAAATGACACCGGTCTGTACATAATCGAGTCTTGACCAAACAATCGAGTGATTGATATCAGGAGCATCGATCCACGCAATTGGGGTCGATGCCATGCATCAACCAAGTCAGTTTGATCACCCGATCCCATTAGTCGCCTTTAACGACAAGCATAGTCGCCATTTTACGGCAAGCATGGGTGGCTAAAGACCTATTCTACCCATGCATTTGGGTTGGTTGGTTGGTTGGTTGGTTAGTTGTTTAACGCCGCACTCAGCAGTATTCCAGCTATATGACGGCGGTCTGTTAAATAACCGAGTCTGGACCAGACAATCCAGTGATTAACATCATGAGCATCGATCAACGCAATTGGGATCGATGACATGTATCAACCAAGTCAGCGAGCCTGACCATCCGATCCCGTTAGTCGCCCCTTATGACAAGCATAGTCGCCTTTTACGGCAAGCATGGGTTGCTGAAGACCTATACTACCCCGGATCTTCACGGTCACGGGTCATATTCTACCCCAGGTCTTCACATTATCAAAGCGTAAATCTGAAAGATCTCTTTTCCCGAGCATCTCATCTTAAGGTACTTGGAGGGAATTGGTCTGCATAATAGATTTTGAATATGTATGTGAATAACTAAATGCTTATTTATAAATTTGGTGTGATACTATTATCAACTGACATTAGGCTCTGTCCAGTAAAACAGTTACAAGGGACCACGGGAGGACCACGGTACATCTGCTATCTGCATGGTACCCCAGCAGGATTTACACCATCCCTCTGGTGATTGTTAGTAAGTTTAAGCCAAAGCATTTTAAAACAAACAAGTATTTCGCGATCAAAACCATTGAAAATGAAAACTACTTTGAATGAAATGGGACTTATGTACCCTCTCAGGGTGACACTTATTTAAGGTTACTTCAACCCCCTTTGAAGGTACAGCCACTAACAATCAGTTATATAGTCATTTTACCAAATTAATATCACATACTTTTTACAAAACATATCAAAATTTATCTAATATTTCAATTTCTTTAAAAAAATAAAATAAAATGAGTACTTACCTGATACAAAAATCCTTGATGGATGACACCTGGATATAATTATCCCTTGTGATGGAAAAATCAATACAGTCAAGCATGTCCTGCTTGATTCTTTCATCACAAGGGACACAGAATTGGGGATCTTCACCTTTTAATAAATAATCATATGTATAACGTGAATGGCAAATCATGCCCAAATATGTGTGTAAAAAATATAATCTTGCATCTCTGACTCACTTTTGAATATGGCTGAAATAATGCCGATGTGACGTTAGATTTTAACTCACTCATCCCCAATTGCGTGGATCGATGCTCATGATGTCAATCGCTGGATTGTCTGGTCCAGACTAGATTATTTACAGACTGC